TTGTAGATTCATCTAATTCTCGTTGCCCTATTTCTATTGATACCAATTTTTAATCCATCTCGTTTTTCCAAAACAAATTTAGGGTTAGGGTTATCGATCTGCCCACCTATTTCGTTTTCTTTCGCTATTTTACTCGATTATCATAAATTTATACCCCTTTTTAGTTTTATGTCAATTTCTTGTGTTTCGTCTCCGATCGAGATCTAGGGTTCTTATTTACCGATCTATCTCACGGCTTTCCAGATCTGTAAATTATCAGAGGGCTTTCTCTTGCTTTCGTCAATTCTTATCCATTATACACTTGGCTTGGTTAATTTTGGCTAGGCCAGAATCTAGGGTTAGGGTTTCTAATAATTTGGGGATTTTCGATTCTTTCTCCAGCTTAAGCTCCTCAACGCCTAAAATTCTTCATTTGAGCCTTTATGGTGGCATCTTTTGTGCACTTGGCCTGAAACCTTATACGAGCGTGTCCCTTTTAGAGAGGTAAATTATATATACATGTTGACTGGACATTTGTTCTCGTCTCAACTGGTTTTTAAGCATTGGTATTTTTTTTTAATTATTATTGTAAACTGGTTCAATGTTGTGATGCATGTCTGTTTAAGTAGCATCATGACATTATTATAGTTATCGTCTTAAGAGGAGCTTTATCAGTTACATACGGTTTGTTTAAGGTCTCTTGCATGCATTTTGCTACAATTGTGAAGGGAATTCGTATCGGTTACTACGTGTGCACGTTGTTGTTTGACTGTTCTTTTTCTGAAGTATTCACATAATCCTTCTTTTCTTTTTCTTTTTCGTCCTTAAGAGTTTTATCGTATTCTATCGCCCTTTATGCAGGTTGAAAAATGGGATTCAAACGCCCTTTTGATGATGAGAAATTTCATGAGCTCCCGTTTAAACATTCTAGACAGCTTGACTATAGCGATAAGTCGATTCACTTTGAAGAATTTATTCCACGCCATGCTGTTTCGCAGACATCTGTTGCCACGGGTAAATGTTACATGTAACTATAACTTGTGTGTGCATTTCTTTATGTTGTTTGTTAAAGGTCAAAAACCTTGCTATGTGAATTAATTTTTTCTTTTGAATGGGTTCATTTCATCGGACAATAGTGAATGAGGGTGAATCATTTGATGGTGATACCTTTGATGAAGAGTCCAATTTTGTTTACCCGGGTCTTGACATGGATAGTTTTTTTATTCACGTCACTAAAGGTTGCGACGGAAATGATGCAACTCACTCTCCTCATTCTGTAAATTATTTTGAGCTTGCAATGCCTCCAAGAATGTCTGCTCCCATTGAGAGTTTGTATTCTTTCCTCTTGCATCAACCCGCTAGAAAGCAAGTGCCCATTGGACCAGGTCATCAAGCCACAATTCCTGAATGGGAAGGTAGTCAGAATGGGAACCTAGAACCATTAGGCATGTCGGGTCAAAACCACATGATTGGATGTCCTGATGGCGAGAAGCTCTCTGGTACATGTGTTGTTCCCATGCCGTCTTTAGATACACTTGCACATATGGATGACATAATAGGGAAAGGTAGAAAGTTTTGTGTCTGCCAGGACAGGGATTCTATCAGGTGTGTGCGCCAGCAAATCAAAGAAGCTAGAGAAGAAATAGTTAAGATTCTTGGTTATGAGAAATTCAAAGACTTGGGCTTCTGTGACATGGGAGAGGAAGTTGCACGGAACTGGAGTGATGAAGATGCACAACTTTTTCATGAGGTTGTGTATTCCAATCCTGTAACATTAGGTCGGAACTTTTGGCAGCTCTTGGCAGCTGTATTTTGTTCCCGAACCAAGAAAGAGATTGTTAGCTACTACTTTAACGTTTTTGTTCTCCTAAGGAGAGCCACCCAGAACAGAAGACTGATATTGGACATTGATAGTGATGATGATGAATGGCACGTGTGTTATGGAGGCTCTTCGGTTACTCATTATGTTGAAGAAGATGAAGAAAACTCTGCCATCGAGTCTTCCCTCCATCAACGGACTGAAAAAGTCAATGAGAAAGTGCATCCACTCGATGCTAGTAATAGTTACAGTGATGAAGATGATGATGCCTATGTTGATACCAGACAAGGTTGCACTGGACAGTGTGAGGAGTACAAGACGAATCCAACAGTCAAGTATACGGATAGATATTTGGGAAGCAATGGAGAGAGGTTGAACGTGGAAGATGACTCGTGCACATCATTTGAACATGCACATGGTGCAGTGAACTCCCGCTGGACAAACTTTGCAAAGAAGGATGAAACTGGTCCTGAAGAGCATCAGAAGAAGTTTAAGGACTGTAATGATATAGTGGACAGTAAAGCTTGGGTTACAACAGATGGCAAAGATCTTCAACCAACCTGGAGCATCATGGAGGAGATAATGGGTCATGGATCCTGGGAAAACAAGGCAAGAAACAAGTGAGGAAGAAACATGATTCCAACAAGTTACAGAAGCATGGGAGAGATTTTGGGGTTATGGGGTCCTCCAAATGTTCCTATTAAAGTAGAGAGAGTGAATTTGAGCCTTTGTTTCTCATGTGAATGGGTTGTTGTTTCACTTTTCTTGGGTCCCTCTTGCTCAAAATCCTTACCCAGAATGGCAGAATCTCTTTCTGATCTGCACTAGGATTTTCTCTTCTTTGACCTTTAATTTTGTCCAGGAAGTCGCAAAGGAAAGTCTTCTTTTTGCCTTGAGAAACCATTATCACCGTTTTGTGAGATAAATGACGCAGAATATTTTTCTTGCAGAATAGAACACACAATTATGCAATATATCATCGTTTTAAAGAGAAAATGAAATGATATATATTTTTTTTTGTTTGGTTTGGTATAATCTACCACCTTGGAGAGTAGGTGGTGGCGAAAAGATAAAAAGAACTTCCTTGTGAAACACAAAAACCAACACCAAATAATAATATTCAATGCCAAAGTTTGTTGCTTTAGAATAGGAGAATATGTGGCATTATTAGAGCCAATTATGCTCGTCTCAAGGACTTTACTTTGTTGTTTGGACGTCGAGAAGTCTCTTATTTTTGTTTTTCTGTTTGGTCCCATGGTTTGTTATACCCACTAAGCCGAAGTCTACTCATTCAGTGTACACAAAAGATTTTTATTTAATAAGGAAATGAAATTAAACTTTCTGTAATTGTGCTGCTGTGTTCAAGATTTGATTTCTTTACGAAAATTAAGCAAGGGGGAAAAATGGTGGGATTATAATGAACGAGATCTGGACCGTCCAGTGTGGCTTCTTCTCTCTTGTATCCTTTTTGTTCATATCTTTTTTGGTTCCATGCATG